AGAGTGGGTCGACATGCCTTGACAAAAGCTGCAGGAGTTTAATAACATCTGTCTAGACAGACTGAAGTGATGGTCTTTAGACAAATCTAGTGGGATTTGGAAAGGAATACAATAGTTTGGATTAGATTTTGATCAAAACAAAACGCAGCCTGCATATTGGATTAGTCATCGTGATGATGGTGGGGAGGGGAGGGGTCTAGTGGGTGGATGGATGCATGGATGGATGGATGAGAAGGAAAAAAACAGTTATGTAATCAAGATTACAAAACAGTGGCTGAGGGCCCTTTTTTTGCTTCTGCTACCTTAGCGACAGTGACCCCTCCCGCACGCACAAACACAAAGGCACAAATATGAAAAGAATTTCAAACACTCCGACACCAAGGGATGGAGGGGGTACATTGTGTACCACATTTCCCCCATCCTGTACGAGCGTGTGCACTTGTGCGCGTGGAGGAGTTGCATATTGGAGGGAGGGTTATGTAAACACTGCCCACCCTGAGAGAAGAGGAGGCGTGAGCATCTTTACATCCCCTCTTGTTGCTTCCAGTCACCTCGAGCTTTCCTAAACTCTCTTCTGTTACATTTTCCTCTGCCTCGTTACTCCAAGTGCTTTCATGAGACATCCCCAACATAAAAAGAGAACATTTATCTCCAACATAAAGCAGCACCTTGTAAATGAACTCCCACTGCGTCTGAGAACACGCTGAGCTGTGTTATGTAATCTTCTGGATTTGATCACGCGTTTAATGAAGGAACTCGAACGTGGTGCGTTCAGTAAAGATGCAGGTTGTGAGGACAATGAGAAGAGTCACATAATGTTTAATGGTGGGTTAAATGTTACTAATGAATTAATTTTGGCCAAGCTTTGCCTGTTTATTTTAAGAAAAGGCTCCGGCGTCACGTTGTCGATGTAACTCTTTGTGACTTTGCTGTTTTTGCCTTTTATCCCAGCTCCAACCCCTCCCTTCTGTTTTTAAGCACACCAGTCTCATTCTCATCCCCTGGCGGTTCTTGTAACTTGGAGAAGTTTTAGAAAATTATGTAACTCTGCTCTTTTTAGCAGGATGGTCTCACATTTTACAAATCTTAATCTTTGAGAGAAGCACACGGCAGCTGTGCATTTTAGGACGGTTTAAGACATGAAACGGTTTTAACCCACTTCTCCTTGCCTACCATCACATGTGCAGATTTAAAACTGTAAAATAATCACAGATTGGCTCAAAACCCGAACTTAAAAAGCAGATTAATGTGTAATCCAGAACATCTAATACAGATGTGCACGTCAAACTAGAATGAGGTCACAGTCGTCATCTGCTGTTCATGACTCTGACTTCCTGTCGTGCCAGAGGTTGTTCATTAAGCTTTCCTTTTATGTAACATGTTGCGCCTCTTGTTTGTTTTCTGCACAGGGGTCTGGCTCCTCAAAACAAACCTGAGCTTCAGAAGGTTCTAGAGAAGAGGAAAAGGGAGCAGGTCATCAAAGCTCAGAAGGAGGAGCAGGAGGCGCACAAGAAGAGGAGCGACTTGGAGATCGAGCTCATGAAAAGGCAACAGAAGCTAGAGCAGGTAAAGCTGCTTTGTAAGGCTAGTTTGATTTGTATTTTTAAACGACTTCCTCCTTTATTTTTACGTTGTTTATCTTTTTAGTTATTTGTTTTACATTATTTGAAGACGTGACTAAGATATTTTCTTGCATTGAATTTCTTCCCTCGTTCAGCTGGAGCTGGAGCAGCAGAAAATCGAAGAGGAGCAGGAGAACACCCCCGAGTTTGTGAAGATGAAGAGCAACCTGCGCAGAACGAAGCAGGAAGCCGACGGGGAGAAACAAGCCACCTAAAATCCAGCGCAGGGTGTTCGAGTCTGGCTGACTGAGGTGTCAGGAGTGTGTGTCCAAAACAGTGTGCGTTGTCTGTGCCACACGGTGGTGACCAAGATGAACCTCTTGGATTTTCCAACTTCAGCTGTTCCTTCCTGCAGTGAGGAGAGAGACTTTAGAGACTAAAGACCCCCCACCACCACCATCCCACTCCGTCTCCCTACAACAGGACGGCCAGCACTCATGCCACCCAGCAGCACACGGCACCCCCTGCAGGAAGCACCAAACACAGACGTGACGCGCTCCTCGACAGAAGCGAGCGAGCTTCCAGTGAGCTCTGACGGAGAAATAAACCACAAACACAGGAGTTTTCACCCCGTCTGTTTTCACCTCTTTCTCCACAGCAAGCTGTTTCTTTTTACTGTTATCAATGTTGTTGTTGTTTTCTCATCTTCAGTATAAAAACAATCAAAGTGGACACTGGATGGACTCTTGAAGATGTGTAATATAAAAGCCAAACAAATGTGCTTTTGTTATTTATGTCTGTAGCTTTTAGCCCAAGTTTAGGAGGTGACACTTTTTGCCATTGTGTATTTTACTTTGTTTTACAAAATAGTATATGAAGCCAGAACGGGACAAAGGATGTGAGTGAGTGGCTGCGTGCGTGTGTGCGTGTGAGAAACACATTTGCTTATTATTTTTTTAAATTCTGTACATGCCATTTCCCCTCCTAATGCAATTTTAAGCAATAGTAAAATTCCCTGGCATGAGAGTGAATTTTCTTTATATATTCTATTGTTTTGTATGAAAAAAATGTGTTGCTTAATAAATAATTTACGTTTTATTTGGCTTGTTATTTCACACACTTCCTCTGCTGAATGTCTGTTTTGTGTAGTTTTATGAAGAAATTGCTCAGTGTTATAAAATTAGGTGTACACAAGAAGACTCTTGAAACAGCCTTGATGGTTATTTTCTTGGGAAGCTTAGATGCTTTTTTTAATTCAAATCAGTTTAAATTAAAATAGCAATACTGCAAAAACAGTTGTAATATTTTGTGTGACGTTAACCTTTAAAAAAAACAGCACTCTGGATCTATTTTAGGCTATTGCAGTCTACAATAAATATTCACTCACAGGGAAAAAGAATTATAGTGCAACTATGTTCCTCTAAACAAATACATTTCCCTGTTGCTTACACTTCCTCCCGTCAGCTACTTGTTAATCTAGAACTTGTTTTTGGACTGGAAAAAAAAAAAAACTGCTGCAAACTTCACATGGAAAGAGCTGAACTGTCAGAATTTCCTGCTGTGAAGTGACGAGTCTTATTTTTCTTTCTAAAATTCATTCAACCTTTATTTATACAAATTAGTTTAATTGAGCCACAAAGACTCATTTACAAGAGAGACCTGTTTTTAAAGAACACAGAATGCAATAATAGTCATAAAATGAAAAGTAGCTTTAACAAAAATGGAAACGAAGCAAAACGGGATGGGAAAAAATGGATTAAAATGCAAACACAACGGCAAAACAAGATGTGTATGAGCGTATCCCCAAGGTTATCTCAGTTCTAAGTTGGCCTCTGAATCCCTAGGATGGACTTCATGTACAGTGACTCAAATGCACTAGCTTCCCCTGTGACCAGGAAAGAAGTAGTATAATGAAAAATGTATGTTTGTGTTTGTATGAACCGCTATGGGAATTTTGACCCTGTTCAGACTAGCCTATAAGTTGTCAGAATTATTTTTCCTAACTGAATTCAATTGAAGATCCACCTACAGCAGGTAAGATATTGACCACATTAGTAGCTTGTAGTTACCAACTATGACCGCTAGGTGGCAGCAGAGCGCCACCGCCGCTTCTAACATCAACAAAGAATAAATCGACCTTCTTCTCATCAGTAAGCGACAGACATGGCTGCCTGTGGGCTTTTTCGCTCCTTTTCTTCCAACTTTTCCACAGTTTTGCCTTTACTTACCCGCTCGACATTACTTTCTCCCTCACAGCTGTCCTGTAAGGCTTATTTTGGAAGAAAGCTAGCCTCTTCTAGTCGAACATCAGCAGGTATTTGTTCATGGTTGCGTTTTATATAAAGCTAACGTTAGTTGGAGGTTATTAGCCAGAGTTTACCACAAAAAAAATGGAGGAGGGACTCATTATTTTACGGCGTTGAAACTGAATGTTCTGAGTCTTTTTTGTTTGTGTGTGTTTTCACAGCGCTCAAATTCACAGACAAACACGAATGGATTCGAGTAGACGATAACGGAGTAGGTACAGTCGGTATCAGCGAGTTTGCACAAGTGAGTTATGACAAACGCACAGTTACTGTAAAATGTTTTATTTGTTTATTGTTGCAACTACTTTTGACCTTTGTCTTGCGCTTGCAGAATGCTCTGGGAGATGTAGTTTACTGTGGACTACCTGAAGTGGGAACACATCTGGCACAGAATGGTATGAGGTTTCCTCCGGTTTTTGACTGTAATATAAACAACAACTCAGTTTAACTATTTTTATCGGTTTGTTTTTTTGTCATCTATACTGTCATGTAAGCAGGATGATTTGTCATTTAGTAACTTAAACCAGTTTATCTAAATGATTAGTTTAGCTTTGCAAAAAAAAAAAACATCCAATGAGCTCATTAAGAACGACTTGCATAAAGGTTACTGTAAAGTTAATATCCGTGTTTTAAGGTTTAATATGCTGATATTAAAAAGACATTATAGAAGACAAGTCTGTTCAGTGTTTTTCCTTCAAGATTTTTGCTTTTAATTATTTAAAACCCTTTTAAACTTTTCTAATATTTTACCCGGTAAAGTGTTTTACTAAACTCCACCTTTTCGTTAGTTTGTTTCTTTCATCTGGTGTTTATGTTGTGTTTATTGTGCTTTAATCCACAGCGAAACAGAGAGGAGGGAGATGTTTAGTGTTGTTTCATAATATTGTAATATAGTTTTTGGTACCAACTAGGTTAATCGGATCCACTCGTTGTCTTTGTAAAGAGTGGAACCAAATTAGCCTGGATCTGGTCACCATTGTTTGTTTTGTATCAATCTAACTCATTTTAGACAAGTTCATTTTTATATCATCATACTAAATGAACTGTTGGATAGCTAAACAAATGAATAATAATTGACAACTGATACAGGTTCTTGTGATCAATCGAATTATCTTCTTACAACTAGTTGTGCAGATGTCAACATGTTACCACATAGAGTCAAAGTGTAATCGTGGAGTGGATTTGTTGTTCTTACAATGAACAAACGTTAGTGTAAACATGTTTGCGTCTAATTTTCACGTTCATAGATGAGTTTGGCGCTCTGGAAAGTGTCAAGGCAGCCAGTGAGCTTTATTCCCCTTTGACGGGAGAAGTTGTAGAGGTCAATACACTACTGGCAGACAACCCTGGCTTGGTCAACAAGTCCTGCTACAAAGATGGTAAGCTTATACACACAAAAGCAATATAGTTTAAACCTCTTTAAACCTTTAATCCTTTAGCTCTGTGCAGAAGCAAAAGATTGCAAGAGGTTATAAAATTTCTTTCAGTTTGTTCATTTCAGTTTTTTTGGTTTTATAATTCTGTCACTTCTAATTTTTTACTCATGTTTATGTAAAATAGACCATTCCAACTACTGAACAGTGATGGGTATAACTAGAAACAGAAAAAAATGGTGGAAATGTGCAAACTGTGCAAACAAAATCCTCAGCTGTGTCAGATAATCCTGGTAGTTTTACACTTAAAAAAAAATGCACTCGAGTTTTAGGCCTTTTATATGTTTTCAGCTGAACAACTAACATTAACATAAAGTCAGACAGTTTTTCTTTTGACAACCTTTGATTTGTCACATGTTCCATTTTGGACACTAGATGGCAGCATCGTGTTGACTAAATATTCCAGACTTTTAAAACGTGCTTCATTAAAAAAAACAGTAAAGTTTTAATAAATTTTATATTTTATATTAAGTACATGAAAAAAAACACCTCGTCGTTGCATTTCAAAAATGCACAAGTCCCCCCCCCCCTTTTCATTTCCTAAATTGCGCGTTTAATTTCCCTCCAAGTTTAACCTCGTTATCAAAAAGCAAGACACGGTAATGAGCATAAAACGTTAAAATACTCATTTTAAAGCTGTAGTTGTAAGCAGTCCTCTGTCATCTGACACTTGTATTGGTATAACCTGTCTTTGTGTTGTTTTGCTCATGCATATTTAACTTTGTCACTTAATGTGAAATTGATGTACGATTTCTCAAATTACACACTTTTTTCTAGACATTAGAGCTGAGGGTGGTATCTGTTTTTAAGACAATAAGGCAACTTACAAGACTTTACTAAAAGTTTTTCTTTAGAAAAGATGTCGCAGCTCTGACCAGTAAAAAGTCCAGATCTCAGTTTATTAAGAAAAAAGTTAAGAAAATTAAACTCTTTGAAATCTAGTCTAACGTACTGTATGTGGACGTGCTTCATTTGTGACAGAAAGCAATGGCTTGGAAATAATCAAGCCAGAAGATGTGTTACAAAGTCATAATTCAGTTGTATATCTTATTTTATGTATTTTTTATTTGCCAACACAGCTGAACAAACCATAACGCATCTTAGACTGTATCTTCCAAAGGTGGGGATTACGTGCTTTTACATCCATTTATGATCACTTGGATTAAATGTTCTATTCACAAAGAGATTACTAAGAAAAACAAAATCCAAGTGTTAAAAATTATAGATAGGTGGTAATGTTTCATGCTTGTTCTTTTAAATGTATTTGTTACTAAATATATTGTTGCACAACGGAAGGGAAAACCTAAATCTATGATGTCACCCTTCTGTTTATAAAAGAGCAGTTTCCTCCACCAGACTCTGTCGGTTCAGTTTGAGGTTCTGTAGACCCTGATCATCTTTCTAGCTGTCAGCACTTCTCAAACAAGTGCAGGATTAATTTTTTGATGCAGCCTCGCTGTATCTTCTGACTCTTTGATTTGCTTCATTGTATGTACTTGGTTCCTTTTTGCTTTGTGTGATGAAAAATGCACTTGTATGAGTGACGTGTTACTGTGTGAAAGCATGTTTATGTTTGAATCGTTGCTAATCCTGGTTTTCTTATAGGTTGGCTGATGAAGATGACTATTGGCAATCCTGCTGAGCTCGACACGCTGATGGATGAAGCAGTGTATGAACGATACATCCACTCCATTGAGGACTAACACCGCTTCTCTCTCCCTCGCTGTTTGCAACAACACTGACAGAGACGTGCCCAACACGTGCCTCTCGGTTACATCACAATGTTTAACATCCAGCAGTAGAGCTTTTTAACTCCAGGCTGCTGAGCTGCTCATGTTTTAGTTGTGAACTTTAGAAATTCTTCACCTGCTGTTAAAAAGATTGACTTAAAGGAAACTTGTCAGTCTGCACTGACCAAACACTGTTAACTTCTGCAGCTTCAACCCTCAACCAGAGAACTTGGAAACTCACAGTCTGTAGAATAGGTTTGAAACATTTCACAGGTTTAAAAATGAAATTATGTTCTAGGACACTGTTAGAATTAAAAAGCACTTTGGTCTCTGATATTAATTATGCTGGTTGACACTGTGGATTTGGGACCCATGTAATGGAACATTAAACATTTCTTTACACACTCAGCTCTCCTTGGAATTTATTCTCACATTTAGATGCTTCATTTAAAATGTAGGCAACGTTTAACAATATGTATAAAACTTTGTACAAACTTGTCGCTTTTTTCCTTCCTCTTGTGGGTCAAGGTTGGTGGGGGGGGGGGTGGTATTAAATCAGAGAAACGAACGCCTCCCACATCCACCACCACCCAAAACCAGGGATTATTTAACCACTTCAGTGCATGACTAAAATAATTAACACTACGCCGACTGACACGAGAGACAAACACTCAAGCTCAAAATTGTTTGGATCTATGTTGATGGTAGATTTGCTTCTTTTAAACAGCTGGTACAAAAGTTTAATATCCATAAGTCACAGTTTTTCAGATATTTACAGCTGAGACATTTTGTGAGATCTGATTGTTTTCCTTTGGACCCCTCTAAACATTTTGTGGTAAAGATTTTGGAATGCAGGTCTGATACAAGGGGATCCTCAGCAAGATATATACACAGCTCAGTTCATACCATGAGTCCAGATTGGACTCCCTTAAATTGAAATGGGAAACTGACTTGGAGAAATCCAAATCACTCAATCTGGAGAAGGATCATTCAGAACATTTATCCATCCTCAATCTGTCTGAGACATGCTGCAATTCAAGGTTGTCCACAGGTTGCACTAGTCCAAACATCAAAGCCAACCTGGACCCTGCATGTAATCTTTGTAAACAAACTCTACCTACACTCCTGCATACATTCTGGATCTGTCCCAAACTGCAGAACTTTTGGCAATCTATTTTTGACACCTCTGGGATATGTGGCAAAACTGTACACCCACCACCATCTCCCTGTTTGGATATGTCCTTCAGCAAGTATGAGAAGAATGTGATTGCTTTTGGCTCTCTTCTGGGCAGAACACTGGTTTTGTGCAATTGGAAGGACCCACACCCTCCAGCAGCATATGTTCATTGGACAAAAGAAGTGATGTGTCGTATTCATTTAAAAAAATCAGACATACCCTGAAGGGTTCTGTAAAAAGATTTTGGGACACTTGACAGCCTTTTATGTTGCATGTGGAAAACTTGTCAGTTTAGTTTGTGTGTGACTGATCCAGTGTGGGAGGGGATGTTTTTGTTGTTCCCTGTGTTCTCCTTTTTTTGTTAAAAAAAATTAATAAAAAGACTTTGAATAAAAAAAAATTGGACCTATAAAAGTTTTTTCACTTTTATTAAAAAAACGTCAAGAAACAATGTTAATATACATCTCTGAATTCGTACAAATATTCCAGGGATCTTCTGATTAAAAGACCAGTGCTTTAACCAATGATCACAGCCAAACATTCACCACAGAACTGGTTAAATAAGACCCTACCATGTTGGTAAAAACATCCCACTTTTTGTCTATCCTCATTTTTCTATTCTGGTCCTCTCAGCTCCAAATAGATTTAAACTGAATATGTTCACAGCACAGCAGGTTTTGTTGCAGTTATTCCTGCGTTTGAGGTCACATCAGGTCAGGTGTTAGTGGGTGTATGACTACGCTCAAACCAGCAGAATGTGTCCACAGTGCAGAAACTCTTGACGCCCCAAATAAAATTCGGAGTTGGCTGTTCAGATCACTGGTGACATGTTACGATCTGCTTGATGATGAACAAGGGTCGCTGAATGATGGTGCCCCCTAACAGTAAATAAGTAAAAATCTGAGGATGTATCACTAAAAATCTTTTTAAATTTATCAAAAATAGTAAAAAAAAAAAAAAAAAAAACAGAATAAGAAAATAAATTCAATTCAGTTTATTTCTATAGCACCAAGTCACAACAGAAGTCGTCTCAGGGCACTGAACAGAAACATTCATATATAAAAATAATAATTTAACGTTATTTATCTGAGGAGCAGACTGATTTGAGTCTTAACTCCATCACAGACTCTCATCTTGAGCAAGCATGAAGGCGACAGTGGAAAGGAAAAACTCCCTCATGAGGAAGAAACCTTTATCAGAACCAGACTCCGGACACAAAAATACACAGCAAGCTCAGTAAAGAAGTAATTTACATAATTTTTAGGAGGAACTAATCTGTAATGTGCAAAGTGAACAAATAAAGCGGTGTGCTTGCTTGAAACTGAACCGCCCGAGATGCATTTTAATACCAAACAAGCCAATAATAAATGTGATTTTTAAATCATCGTGTTCTTTAGCTTCATTTTTCAATCACTTTATAGAAGTGACTGATCCACTGGGTACAGCAGAGAACCTGTCCTTGGCTGTTGGAGTTCGTCTTGCTCTTCCTCTGGGTGACGGAGATGAAGGAAGCTCCTCCATCCTGCGATAATCCCTCTCCAGCCTCTCCTGTCTCTGGACTCCCTCACACATCACGCTGGCTTTAAAGTCTCTTACGTTGAAAAAGGCGATGGTCTCGTCCCTCTTGCGGCTCACGTATCCTTTCAGGACAGCGTTGTAAGGGTTTGATGCTGCCTCTTCATCTGGGTTTTCTAGCTGGTATTTGAATTCCATGCGTGTGATTAGAGGCAGCAAGAAGCGCTTCCCTTCCACAGCCTCGTCCCCGTGAGACGACCCCAGAGCCTCAGAGACCAGGCGTGGGGGTAAAGGTATCAAGTCACAGCCTGAGCACTTATCCACATACTGTCCAAACTCTCTGCGCACCGCAGCTACATCCTGCAGTGACCTACTCCTACGCTCCTCTAGGTCGGTAATTATTCGCTCAGGATACGTCTGGCCAAGCACCACACCTAAACAGGCAAAGCATGTCTCATGAATATAACACATATGCATCGGCAGTATTACTGTTCTTTTAAAAGGAGCCTCACCTGCACGCCGCAGCATGGAAGCAGGACATTTCCAGGGTTTGTGAATAAGCTCATCCGGCAGATCTGCGAGCTCTGGACACCATTTTCTAACATAGCTGCCATACGGGTCACAGGTCATCGCTGCATCAACGGGGTGCATGACAAAGTTCCAGTGATCTAAGCCACTCATCCCCCCATTCTGCCACATCATAGCATCTATGGCGACATCTGCATCCACCAGTGTGTCCTAAACGCACAAACAACTTTGGTACAGTCAAGTAGGTCTTGGTTCACACTGTATACATTGATGCCTTCGTGAAGTTTACCTGAAACCAGCGATAGCCCTCCTGCCAAGGTAGATAGAGATAGGCGATGAGAAAAGATGCCACGACATGCCTCATGTAGTTGTTCATCCAGCCTGTTTGCCACAGCTGCCTCATGGCTGCGTCAACCAGAGGGTAGCCCGTTTGACCTCGCTGCCACGCCTTCAGGTGGCTGCGATCAGTACTCCACCTCAGAGCCTGCAGTTAGGAGTAGAATATCAAAACTCAGTATGATATGGTTATCACTCTTAAAAAAAATGTGTTGTAGTCACAACCCATTTTAACCTTGTATGGTGGTCTGAGGGATTCCCAGGGGAGATCAGGAAACAGAGTTAACTGCCAATAGGCCAGATCTCTCCACGCCAGTTTGCGCTGGAACTTTGGAGGTCGACAGCGTGCTCGTTTGGCATTCCACCACAGCCACCGTGGACTGAGCTGACCAAAGTGAAGGTAGGGAGACAGAGAGCTGGTGTTCGGAGCATCTGCTCTGCCTGACTCTTTTTCATACCTATACACTCCTGGGAAACATGGAAGTAACAGAGCAATGATGGTCCAAGTTGCTCCTGAGCAACATCGTGGAAATTCCGCTGAAGAAGAGCACGTGAGATGTCTTACCATCACGAAGAAAGGCATCAAGTCGGGCATGTGCTCCTGCTTCACTAAAGTCCCAGGATTTTTGAATGTTAGCTGCCCAGTCGACCTGAACATAACAATGAGCACAAGAAACTCACATCAGAATATTGTGTGAATGCTGAGTCAGCATTTACGCTTTTGTTTTCCTGTTTATCTCTTTTTTTTTTTACATCAGCATACTTTTAGCTATTTCAACCATTCAGAAATCAGAACATTCACATCATTCAGTTATGATTTGGTTATTGTAACTTTGATACTTTTTGTATTATTTACAATTTTTCTAATGGAAAACCATTGAGATCTCTTCAGTTTCTTAAAAAAAAAAAACCTTTCCATTTTTTAAAATCTTGTGTATGCTCGCTTTATTCTAAGCAACTTTTTTGAATTTGTCATTATAGCCACGTTTACCTATTACATGATACAACAGCATGCCACACAGCTACTACTACTCTTCTGCCATCTAGTGACTAAAGATGGTGCTGCTAGAAAAAATTTCAGTTAGAATGAATGAAAACGGTCATATCTCAGCCAAAAATTGGTTTATAAATATGGGAAAAAAATCCATAAATGCATCGCTTTGGCGTATAAGTCGCAGGGCATGTAAACTATGCAAAAAACGTGACTTATAGGCCAAAAAATACGGTCTCATCCTCAGTCATCCATTCAGATTTCAGCATTTACACCAACTTTTCTGTAAAATTATTCTAGCATGATTTATGTTCCAGTTTGTGCTTGGCTTTAAGGGAAAGATAAGCTGTTTGTACTCACTACTGTGCCATCTTTTCTGCGGGGCATGCGAGCCAGGCTGAGTGAATCTAAAGGAATTCCCTGAGGCCAGTGGGCCGGTGTGGGAAGAGACACTGGAGGGTCAAGAGGAACCCCCATAGGAGACCCAGGATTCTGTCCACAGCAGCTCATGAAGTGAGACACTGAACCTATTCCTGCACCAGAGGGAAAAAACATACATGTTCATCAAAAATGCCATACTTAATATGAGCTTTGACTGAAAATTCACAAGATTAAGATTCACCTCTGAGTCCTACACCTTCTGTGCTGACTGTATATGGGTCCCTGAGGCAGTAAGAGTGGAACATCTTGCATTCAACACCTTCTTTCTGCAGAACTGATGCCACAGCAACATCCCGCTCCTTCAGCCAGGGTTCATACAGGGCATTAGCCATTAGAGTTCTTGCCCCAGTCTCCTTCACAAGTTGCTTCAGTGTGTGCAGAGAAGATCTGACTTCATTCACCTCTCCGCTGGCTTTGAGGAATATGAGATGACTGCCAATGTGTTCCAGGGATGTACATAAACAAGATAAAGCTTGATGAAGCCAATATTTGCCTGTTAAATAAGAGAAGATGTAATGAAATTAGATTGAAACTAGCATTTTGATCAGATTTAGCTATATAAAGTTTTTTTTTGTTTTTTTTTTGCCTGACTTCTTAAACTTACAAGCACCCCCCATAGCCACAGTGATCCCCGGTCCTTCCTCCTCTTCAGGACTCCAAATAAAAACGGGGATGACAGGCGCTCCCAGTTCCAGTGATCCGATAAGAGCAGGGTTATCCCATAGTCTCAAATCCCTCCTGAACCACAGCAAAACCGGTGGTGGTGCTAACAGAGAGTGGGACAAACCAACAAGCTGTTGGCTAGTTCCTTTTCGCCGCTGCCGCCTATTCTTTGAGCGTTTGGGTTTGTCTGATTTATTTAAATCTCCTTCCTCCATCATCGGGTCATCTTTACTTAAAGTGTCTAGCATGGAAAAGGAAGCAGATGACTCCTTGACACAAAGAGTCTGACCTGTTTGATGAATCTGGTTATCTCTGTTGGGATGTGAACTTTTTTGAGGCTCAGTCTCTTGGTTTATCTGCAGAGGGCAATTTTTGTTCCAGGATCCAGTTGGTGCTGAAGTGGTAGTATTTTCTCCATTAGGTACTAGATGGGTACAGTTTTTTTCCTGAGATGTTGATGATGATTTAAGTTGAAAAAAGCTACTTGGACCGCCTCTGATTTCTGACTGGAGGAGCTGTGATTCTTGGTTTCTGGTTGACATCTGGTTTTCTTCCATTTCCAGAAGAGAGAGAGTCAAAGCAAGTTGTAGTTCGTCATCCTCGGTCTTTAATTAAAAAAAGGAAGAAAGAAAATATAAATGTGGTTAAATTATTATCCTAATATTTATTTTTGAGCTATTGTTTTTTTAAGGTTTGATCATTGCAGTTTTCAGTTTTTGTTGTCACATGATTAGTTGATGTGATCATTGTGTAGGGAGTGGGAACCTCTGAAGTCACAGGGTAAATTTGGTGAGCTAGTTTCAATTACAACGGTGTTGCCAGATATTCGATAATTACTTTATATTTACCACAACTTTAGGGTAAGTTATCCCCCCCCAAAAAAAATTATAATAGCTCTGAAATTCCTGCGCATGAATAAAATTAATATGAATACGTATCAGCAGAAAGTCCAAACTGAACAGCGTGACCCATGCTAGCCAGGCACAAATACTCAGCACATACATAATAGTTTAGATTAATTTTAAAGCGACTGTATGATAGTTAGTCATTTCCAACCTGGCAACCCTGATTAGCAGTAAACTAAGTTCATAAATGTTTTGGCTAGCGTTATCTAAACAACGGGGGTATTTTAATAATAATAAAAAGAACCGTATATTTTTATTTTATTTTTAAGGATTTTTTTTTCAAGAATATAGAAGGTAAAAAGTACAAAGGTGTCTGTGATAGTGGAAACAACTGAGTTAAAAAATTGGTTAACTAGTTGAGTGTTAGCTGTAGCTATATGAGTTAAACGGATCCATAGTTTTATTTCTAAATGATCTCCATCTATTTGTAATGTATTGTGTTAGATAAGATTTTTTTTCGTGGCATGCTACAACTTTAAAACATTTCTTTATTTCAAATTCACTTTTATTAAAACCCAAATGTTAATTACATAGAAAGTTAGGTTTCTCACTGACCTTGGAGAAATATTGCTGATAGATGGAGGTGAGGACGGAGTGCAGGCAGAGGTTGGCCGTGGACAGAGGCTTGATGATGGACTGGAACTGTGTGCGGGTCTCCTGGTGGCCCAGGACGGACAAACACATCGCAAAGAAACCCTGAGGATCCTCCCGACCCACCAAAACTTCCCTCAACACCCGTCTCACCTCAGCTTGGTCAGCCGCCGAAGGAGCCATGTTTAAACGAAAGGTGAGAATAATTTATATTTATAAAACCAAGTTAAATAAAAATACTGACATTTTGTTGTTCGTCTGCTTCTCTCTACCGGTTACAAAACAGCTGACTTGTAAGTTACACAAGTCAGTTTTGTAACCTGCAGTTAAATCAATGTAATAAATACTTCTCACCAGTAGGGGGCGCAAAAGTCTAACAAAAAGCCATGGAGCGCTTGGATTTTTTTTTTTCCCAACATGTGAATAACATGGGATTCCATGTTTACATTTCATTAATTGCATGGAAAGTAGAGCAATATGGACTTAATTAATTCTTCGAAATATCAGTGCCTGCAGTGGGTCTGAAGCTTACCCAGTGTTTTATTATTTTGTCTCAGGCGCACATAGTAAAATAAGGCCCATGAACAATCTTCATCCTGCCATTTTTGAGGTGACTAAGAAGACTATCTTGAATGTCTAAATTAAAAACTTTAGGACTACAATGGGCCTTGTGCTTTACCATGTTAAGCATTTGAACTGGCAGAATCAAACTAGTCATGCTTCAAAATAGAAAATGAAATGGCTAAATTATTTGACTATCCTAATATTTTACCAGTTTTACAGACAATACATTGTGCGTGCAAAATGAGCACAGGTGTACAAGAGAATTAAATTATCCGAAAAGGAAGAAAACTACGGTAAAAATGTCTTCCAGCGTAGCTGCCTGAATTACTTTTTTTTTTTCCAATTCAGTGTGTGGGCCGTTAATTTGACAAAGTCAACAGAACCCATTTAAAATTAAATGTTGCCCACCCTTGGTTTAACGTATAAGCACTTCTATACTAAATTATGCTTACCAGTGGAAATTCTTCATGACGGGGGCCCCAGGAGCTGAAACCAATCAAACAGAGACCCTTGGGTCAGTTTGAGCCAACGTAAAGATGCTATGAGGACATTTGCCTTAAGATAGTCATTCTCTAATTTTGGTATAGCCTTCATCTTGGCAGGAATTTGTTCTTTTTCATGTGCACCCCATGACGCAAGACTGAAAAACAAAGCCAGGAGTCTGTGTACCCAGCAGTGAATTTTTAATCAGGATCTGTATTCCCGCTGTTAAAGGAGTTGCTAAGTAATTGATTTTTTTAATGAGACCACAAACACAATTTTGAATGTACACAGCAGGGGACAGTGATTTCTAACACGCGTGGACCAAAACATAAAATACTTAGAATAGTTGATAAACTCAAAAATCTAAGATGTGACTCAAGACTTCAGAAAACAAGGGCCTGTACCGTCTCAGCTAATCTGACTACTCTGAGGAAAGTAGTGAGAGTCTATGAAGGGAGGATGTGATGAGTGCTCTGGTATGTGAGGAGAGCAATACAGAAAAAGAGGAAGAAGAGAAAGCGATTGAGAGAGAGGGAGAATCAATAGTGTTTAGACAGAGAAGTGGAGTCTAAGTGTGTGATCAATAGAGAGCAGAGAGGAGAGATTAGCTGCTTTTCTCCCTCAAACTAACACTGACAAATTGGTGAATTGGTGTATCGGCCCTTGGGCTAAACGGATTGACCTGCTGTTTCCATGTTCTACCGTGTACTGTCAATAAAGATCTGTGTTCATTGTGAGTCTCAATGAAGAGAGTGAATGAAGCACCAGAGGAGAGGAAAAAGGGGGAAATGGAAGCAAGGGGATTGTTGAAGTGCAATCCCAGGTGTACGTGATACACACAAAATGTCCTCACCTTCGTCTCATTAACGCAAACTGTGCTTTCACACGTGCATCCTGTTATAAAACCATAATAACATCTCCAGGAAAATTAATGGAAAGACAGATTAAAAACTAAGTGAGGAGAAACGGGGCACTGGTGTAGCTATTTGCAACTCATAAATCATCCTGACACACCCACGCGCATGCAGACACACACATAGACACACACACATACACGTACTGTAATTAACCACAGGCTATTTACTCTCTCCTGCTGTAAATTAGACATGCAGACACAGTTATTACATTAGTGGAATCTGCCATGCAGAATGCTAACAGGAAGAGGAGGGGACACTCATCCGCACAACAAGCAGCTCATATAAACATAAACACACACACACTTACATGTACACAAGAAAGAGGGTATGGAAGAATCATAGACTGACGGGAGTGAAAATGAAGCTGCAGCACAGAGAATAGGGGCCCCCAGCTCTTTGTTCCCTGCTGCATTTCATTATCTGAAACGCCAGCCAACACAGACAACACACACACACAGACACACGCAATGCACCTCCCCCCTTTCCCTAAAGCTGTCTGCCTCTACTTTATGCACACCGCACACACACACAAAAAGAAAGGAAAATAGAGATACTGCGTCAGTGCCATTCATTGGCATCTGGACTCGGTCATGACAAGCGTGTCTGCATGGTCATCTTTAAATCAGCCAGTAAAGAAACTGCTCTGAGTTGACTCAGAGGAAAAAAACAACATCATAAAAAACATTTTAGCCACAACAATAGGAGATGAAGACTTGATTGAAGCAAATATTGATACTCTGTCTGGTGTCGCTCGTCTCCGTTTGGTTCATATGGAGTTTTCGTTTTTTCTGGCAGTCACTCCGTGTGCATCCTCTTGTTTCCCCTGCCTCCCTCACCCCTCTCTGTCCCTGTTTTCCCACGGTGATCGATAGCTCATTACAATCATTGACTGCGGCTCATCAGCACCTGTTAAAGTCTGGAGAGACGGAAAAGGTGCATGTGCATCCAGGAGTACAGTATTGTGTTTTATGCCCCAAGCTTTCTGATAAATATGAAAAATTAGCTTGAGGTGAAGTTTTACATTTACAGGTTGATTTTCTACTGCACAGCCACTTCTGCAGGTATCTAGTTTGTCACTGCTTTATGGTCCATGGTCTTCGGGAACATCTTATTATGCAACTCACGTGAGTACCATGGTTTGTTGCTATGGTGATTGCCAAGGGAGCCAGAGTATTATAGGTGTTTATCCTAGACAAGAGAAGGCTACTCTCTGTGTATCAGGACATGCTTCGATTTACCACATTGTTTGGACCACACATTAAGATCAACAGTCACAGGACAAAAGAGGAAACACAACATAGTCAACTGCAAATAGAAATTTTTATTCTTAAAAAAGAATACTTGTTTGAACACAGTAGTTGGTTTAACACTTTGACTTTGTTTGTTTTTGGGCTGGGTACATTACGAACTAAAAAAATGGGCAAACAGACAAGAAATGAAGCCCAGGAACAGTATTAGAAACTACAAGACACAGTTAAATGCAAGCAGAAATGTGCAAAAATAAATAATCCCCCGTGGACTCATTCACAGGATGGGGTCTAGGAAAATAGGAAAATTGCATAAAAGTGTGAATTTTGGGGAAAAGTGGGTATAAATAGATTGAATACAAAAGTGAGTTGAATAAAGGAGAAGTCTCACTCCATGCATAAATTACACACATCATTTACATATTCATTATGTTTTGTGTTATAATGAGAGTATTTGCTTAATAGCTACACCACCACTGGCAGCTTTTGTTTGACACAAGAGAATTTAGAGTGGGGGCAGAGAAGAAGAAAGATAAACAAAGGATTGTGGGTCATCTTGGTAAAGTGGGTGAGGTCAATGGTGCACAATCAATTTTTACTGATAATCGCATCAATCATTTTGCCGTACAGTGCGAGTGTGAACAAGCACAACCTGCTCAAGGCTCTCAGAGACGTGAAATGAAGCGCACATCGAGGGGGGTGGGGGCTTAAAGTTAATTAAAACAACACAGCATTCTCCAAACTCAGGGCTCTCTTCGTTCTTCTTCTCTTGTCTCCGTGGAATAAGTAACTGCTGCTGTAATTACCTACAGGACAGTCACAGAGATCATTCCTTCAGGTGCTAAAATAGTCCTCCAAATGACACTTAAGGCTGGCAAACTGTGCTGAGCCTTCAGGAAAAATACTGTATAATACTTCATTGAAATGATGTTAGGTGTTTACGTAATAATGTGTATAAACTGATGAAGTAAAGGATTTAGAATGGGAATAAGTAAAATTAGAGGAGGAAAGAGGGATGGGAATGTAGACACAGGGGGAAGGGCAATGGAAGAATGAGCTACAAATGAGAGCGATGGCGGTGGCAGGTTGGCACAGTGCCATCCAGTCAGGACTTAAGCAGGGGCGGGCATGGGCACGGGCTAAGGGGCGAGGAGAATAAAAGTGAAAGAGGAAGCGAAACAGACTTCCATACTGCTACTATGGTGCCACCCTGGCACAGCCATAATGGGGCATCGCGAACACAAGACTGGGCAAGAAAAGGAAGACATGACAAGACCTGAGTATAACGGAGCTTAAAACAAAGTTTCCAGTTCATAGAAGATAAGTCACTTGTAGATAAATGAAAATCTTGTTGATGATGGAACTAGATGATGCTCTTTTACAGACAATGTGACCATCAGCCATTTGACAAACAATGGATTCAGAAAATGCTATGATCTTTTTTGACTTTTTGCTCTTTCTGTCTGCCAGCCACAGAGTGCCAGCCAGTGGGCAGCATGCCAGTTTGTATTCGTGGCATGCTCGACGCGATCACAGCAGATGGCAGAGAATTGTTTTAGTCAAAGACAAAAGAACTCACCTCGAAGGATTTTCTTCTAATCGTCGTTTTGTTTGCTTGGACAAAGCCAAGAAGAAGTGCCCGCGCAACGATTTGTCAGCGATTGCGATGGCATCTGTCGACAGGCAGCATGGCACAGGGACAAAGATGGCATCCTGCCAAGGCAACAATAATGCGCACACATGTAAACGGAAACATCTGTACGGTGAGCGGAACATTTCAGATGCCTCCGATGTTTTTGGTGAAGACATCCCCTCAAGGGAGAGGCTGAAAACAGAGATGGCATCATGCCAAACGCAAATCGCGAGGCATTTACAAGCACCATCAAAATCTGTTCAAAATTGCAGTCAATGGTAGCTTAAAATAGCAGGGAAATGTTACGCTAAGAACCCAGA